GGGGATGAAACCAAACAGGGCCTCTTTTAAACCTCCTGTTCTCCAGCTGTCTGTGAAATATTTTTCCATACTGGAATATTTCCTGCTATTAGATGTGATGTCATATGTGTTGAGAAACGTGTGAAACCATATTAACTGCAAAGATGCAATGAGGGATTTGAATTTGACACAGGCTAAGAGGTAGGTAATAAAGCAAGAAGCATCGTCTTGTGCTTGATTTTGGTAGCACATACCTACAGCATACTTCTAGTTACTTACAAGGCCAATACACCGGTTGGTATTGGACCAATAATGACCTTAAGCAGATCAGATATCAGCAATGACCTGTCTGATCCTCAATGGACAGTTTATGTGTCATGATGTAATCCACAGGTTTTAGAGCCACAGTAGCGCCTGGATTCATGATAACTCACACAAAAAATGAGAAGAGATATTTTAAATTAAAGGAAAATTAACAATGGAATTGGGGCATAAGCTTAATATTGTATCTAAAGCTGTTTTGAGCGAGAGAAAACTTGTTATATTGTGCACATCAGGCCAGATGTGTACACCAGGGGCCCCTGGAGTCTCACTGTTTCTGATGAGTAATCCAACTTTTCAGAGGGTGTATGAGGATGCAGCAGCTCAAACTGCTCATCCACCCACCTCCTCTTCACCGAGACATGTTGGCGTAGTGGCACAAGAAGAGAAGGGGGGGTCATGCATTTGACTGACTAACTGTAACAGCACATTTCAATAGCATTAAATGCACCAGGCACAAATACGTAAAAGCCGTATCTGCAGGTGACATACACGCTCTAAAATCATGTGGTGCCCCCACCCCATCAAACAAACTGTCATGTGATGCCAGTGTGGCTTCAGTAGCTGGAGTGTAATGATGGTCAGTTATGGCTCCGGCTGGATGGTGAAGCCCTGCAGAGGACGGGGAGCGAGCAGTGCGACACTGACAGCTGCCAGTATGACAGAGAGCAGCCCCGGTGACATTGACAGGTTCCCCTTGCGGTGTCCCCCCTCTCTCCGTGCCCATAGGAAACGTTAAAAGTCGGTACCTGTTTGACGTTAGCTGGGAGCTTGTTCCACGGGTAATTCTGCCTGATGTGAAATTCCACGTCCGTGTTCATCGCTAGCTAGCTAGCTGGCTACAAGTAGAATTCCTCGAGACGATCGGAAACGGGCTCTCGGGAAAGTCCACGGTGACCTCGCCCGCCCCGGACACCCAGCAACCGAGCGAAGGGACCCCCGGTTTGAGGAGAAATTTTTTTCTCCAGCGGTTATTTTCCTTCACAATAAACCGTAACTTCCTTGTTGTATTTTCGAAAGAGCCGTTCGTCACGCTCGTGGCTACTTTCGTCACTTCCTGTTGAGGAGTGACCGTGGACCTGAATGGAGCAGGAGAGAGCGGAGTTTCAAATGAGAGATGATGTTAGCGCCGTCCAAATCAATGGTTTATCTTAAAGTGCGATTATTACTGCATTATTTTTAGTATTTTTAGCACATGTGGAGCATTTTCCACCCCCACGGCAGCCTGTTTTAATCCTAGTGAAGACGTGAAGCCAGAAAGTCAGGGCCGGTCTGACTGACTGGATGGGCCACTTTGACTGGGGGGGGGGCATCCCAATGACATTTTGGGATGGGCCTCCATCTCCCAAAGCCTGTCCATATCACTGATGATGCAGAAAAGATATTCTTTTGTTTGAGGGAAAAGTCTAAGGAATAGTCTAAACCTGCAGGGCTCTGCATGTTTTTGGAATCCTGCTCAAACTGGAGTAAATATTATATATGTCTGTAGGCTATGAGCATATTTTTCACACTCATACTGTGAGTATTTGCATTTAGTGTGGGTCAAAATATTGATACAGCAGTATCTTATTATTGCTTCCACTTTATTAGCTGGGGGTGGGGGTGGGGGGGTCAAAAGAGGTTATTATTTAACTGAGACATTATTGAAATATAAAATTTATAATAATACACACAAACTTAGATATTTTGATGTAGCATATAATGATACTATTGGTGTTTATAAGTGGTCCAGTACATGTATGTTTATATTATTTCTAACCAATTTCAGTACTCATAACACTTTTTTCTACAAGTCTCCCCTGTGTATCTAACATTCAGATTCACAAACCGTCGGCAAAATGTTGTCATAGTATCATTGTCCCACTTATGAGCAACTCTAGCTTCACAGAAAGACAATACAATAAAACACAGTGCAATACTTGCAGATAAATTTGGTTAAAAACATAAATTATCGCCTCTAATCTCTTGTTCTACATGATTGTCAGGTTTGCATCTGCACAACTCTGGATTGATGTGGATTTAACTACACAGTCATCTTTAACACAGGGCATTATAATTAGCTTAAGTAGCTGGAAATGCTGCCATCGTTTTCCTGTCAGACATAAAAGTGCAAAGCCAAAATGATCTGTTAAAACACTTCTATCACCTGAGCTAATTTTTTGGAAAAGAAATTCATTAATTTTTTAGGTCCCCCAATCTGTCTTTCTCTCATTTTCACACCATAAAAAAATCCTTTAGTGTGATAATATATCTTCTGTCCCAGTAGGTCTGTTATCATATCTTTATTCTGGTCAGAAAATATATACAGTATATTTTAATATTTCAGTGAGTGGTTAATGTGATCATTGTTCAGCAGTGGAAACAAAAGCAAAATTCAGGTTTGAAGCCAGTATGATTAACTAAAAATAGAAAATCATAAATCTGTCCCTGCACCCTGACCTGGAGCTTTTACGAGTTGTTTTTTGTTTGATTTGCAGTTTTGTTCTTACAGGAATCCGACGTGTAAGCATGAAACTATCACTTAGTGACTGGTGACTCAGTGTAAGATTTCACTGCAACACCAAAGTGGCTTCTGCTCTTGGGTCATGATATCTGGCTTGCTGACAGCTCACTTTCTTGCAGCTATGTCATTCAATCTGCCTGCATGTAACTTCAGTTCCCTGTCATATGCCGCTAAGCAAACATGACAGTAATTCATCTGCCTGGCAGACAACCGGCATAACTCCATGGAGTGCAGAAAGGGGCTGCAGATTGAGAATCCTCATGACATTATAGCTCACAGATAATATAAGGAAAATAAGGTTTAAATGTCTCTGTAAAGTCACACAAGACTGATTTAAAAAAATATCACAAGAGGCTCAATCTGATCTCTGAAGGAAAGGAAATCTTTGCACCCTATTTCTGTAACAGTGTTCCCCAGCCTTCTCTGGCGTGTGATCTCTTAAAATAAAGCGTTGTCTACTTGTGAAACACCTCATCTAAGGCTACAGTATGATATAAAAGCTGTGAAAACACACATTGTTTCTAAACTAGAAGCATAGAGGTGGAAGAATAGTGTTTCTTTTTTTGAATTAAATATACATTTTTTAAAATATACTGTTAAAGTTCTTCATAGTCTCAAGGCTTTAATGTGCAGGGGCTAAAGTGGGATTTAACAGCAAGGGGAAGCCTAAGTATGATCTGCTGTAGCCATGCAACAGCAAACAATGACTCACCTTAAAATAAATACCAAACCTGATTACTACTGTGAGCTGCAGAGGACATTTTTGCTTTGTGAACAGCGATCAGACCTTCTGTAACCCTGAGCTTTTCTCCTCTGCTTGTGTTTAATGTAAATAATAAAAAGGAAAGGAAACAAACTGTCAACTTTATTTACATTTCAAACCATCTGACATAATGTCTCCCCACAGCAGCAGCAGCTTGTTTTATTAAGTAATGTCTAATAATCAATTTTTTAAAATTTCTTACAACAGCTATTCTTTATGTACTGATCATGTAATTCCTCTAGAGACAGTACTTATTATTGTAAGACTCATTCACACTCTGAGTACACACAGGGGAGTCACAAAAAGTGATTAACTAATAAACTGCTTGTAATTTTATGAGCCTCACAGTTAACTCTCCACCTGCTAATGCACTGAGGTCCAGGCCTCAACTTTCAGAGTCACCGATCGCTATCAACAAAACATTTCTCTGTAATGTATTCTGTGCTTTTAAATTTGCGTGTATTTTTGAAACTAGTACATGCTCATGCTAGTAGGTTTTGGTCCGTTTGTGTTGTTTTTAAAGTGATATACTTAATCACAAAGAGAGAAGTTTTTTTTAAAAATAGACTGGCAGATGTTTATGTACTAAAAATGAGTGACTGTAGCTCGTTGCTAGGTGATTGCCAGGCATGTAGTTTAGCTTTTGTGGATGTAAGTGATGTACTGTCGTGAAATAAAAAAGAAAAAAGAATGGTTTCATAAGGTGCTACAGGTGCACAAATGCTACAAAACAGGTAGCCTGCATTTTTTATGCATCATTTTATACATAATTAAACTTTGGGAATAGAAATTAGATGTTACTGATGCAAAATAAAAAATTATATGACACTTTTATAAGCTCTTAGAGATGCATAACTGCTAATAATAGGTCATTTTGGCCAGTTGCTATGTGGTTGTCAGGCAACATAATGACATCATTACACATAATTCAGCCTTTTTGGATAGAAATTAGATGTTACTGATGCAAAATAAAAATTATATGACACTTTTATAAGGTGTTATAGGTGCATAAATGCCAGTAATGGGTCATTTTAGCCATCATGTTGCCAAGCTAAGTGGTTGCTTGGCAACATGATGACCTCATGATATCTGATATAAATGTGGACCTCCACGTTTGGTTGCTCAACTCTTAAAGGTATGGCAAATACTTCTTGATGATTTGACACACACAGTGCAACGAGTTAACTGTCAAACGGGTGATTAATAGCAACAGTGGTCACGTCCAGTTGTGCACGTTCATGGACACTAACAGAAACACCACCACACCTTGAAAACTGAGCCCAGTTCTTACAGCTGTTTCTCCTGATCAAAGTGGCCCATCAGCACCGTTCTATATTTGACTACATCCTGGGTTACACACATGAGGAAGGGGGAAGAGGAGGAGGAGGGATGAACTTGGACGGCACTAGAAGACGACAAGGGTTAGCAGCTCGGGGACACTTTGATGAAAGACCAGCCTGGGTGGGAACAATGCCTGAGTCAGGACCCTGTGATGGTTCCCCTTCCTGCGGCTATTGTAAACACTCCCTCCACTGGACCCTGGCTGAGTTGTTAAGCTGGCAGCTGGGTACCAAACAGCGCTGTGTCACATGAGAGGCCCGGCTGGAGTCACAGTGGCCCAGGATACTATTCTTAGCTGTAGGAATGTACACAGTGGCCTCATGGCAATCTCCACAGCGCCTAACTGGAAACCCTTCCCTGAGTCACTACCCATTTTCTCTCTGGGTAATGCTTAAACTGTCTTTCATTTGGAATTAATCCTTTTTTTCTGTCAAGACTGACGACTTTGGATAATATTGGTCCTCCGAGGACAGGAGGTAAGGGCTGAGCTAATCACAGATACTGCTGATGAACTGGAATCATCTTGTTCACACAGATGTTTGTCTCAAACTCCTCAGTTTAACTCCAGTTTTATTATTAAATCTTCAAATGTGAAATTTCTTTTGTATTAGCATAACTCTTAGTTAAGAATCTATATTTTCTGGTTAAAACGTTTCCTCTTGTTTATTGGGCATTTAAAGGAGTGAGTCGTTGCATTTTATGACATTTCTTTATTTAGACTGGATATGTTTCTCAAAAATATAATGCCATGGTATAAACTGTCTGTTAAAAGTGTAATAATTTAAGCTGCGTACATGATCAATTCATCACCATCACCACTGTTGACTAAGTGATTAAGGTGCAGATGGATTATTTTTAAATTCAGATGCAGTTTATCATGAGAGGTTCTGCAGCTCCACCAGCAGCTCTTGTTTGAAGTCTGAGTTAAAACTCCCAGTCGTGAAATGCCACTCACAGCTATTGGCATTTAATAATATACAATAATGATTAGTGGTCTAAATATATCAGACAGGCTGGACCGTGTAAGTGGGAGTAAATCGGTAGCTGGCACGGAGATGATTTGAAGACTTAATGTTGCTAATAGCCCAATGAAATTCATGCTCTTTAAACAATAGGATCACCACAAACCCTCCAGCCAGAGAGAGACACACTGGGACTAAGAGAGAAAACATGACATATAGAAAAAATAACAAGAGAGACTGTGAGGCCAGTCCAGAGAGAGATGGGTTGCAGAGACAAACACAGATGGTCCGCTGATACAGTTCTGTTTATGTTAGTGATGATGGGCAGCTTGATTACTGAAATAAGCCCTAATGGCACACGAATCCTGTGAGATCATTTAGACAGGATTTGGAACAGAAATCTGTGTCAGTCATTCACATTAAAGACAGCTGCTACGTGGGAGGTTTAAGAGTTTGAGAGGAGAGGAATAAGTGAAAGGCTTTGTTATGAACCAGATCACACGGTTTTCGAAGCATGCATGATTAAGTTGTTGCAAATACAAATTTCTTAAAATCACACTTGTGAATCTAATTGGTGCACTTTGTGGAGCTCATGAATAAAGAATATTAGAGAGGAGGATGGATGGAGAACGGTTAGTAAATCAGGAAGGAGAGGATTAGAAAGGAGGAAATGAGGGCAGCTATCACGGTCCTGGAGAGTGAGAGGATGACTGAGCAATGGAGAAGAAGTGTACTGGTACTGATTTTCAAGAACAAGGGTTACAGAGGGATGAAGCTGATGAGATGGACTATGAAGATCGAGGAAAGACTTGTTGGAGCTAGGATAAGAAGAGAGGTGAGGATCAGAGAGCAGCAGTATGGCTTCATGCTGAGAAAGAGCTCTACAGATGTGAAGCAGAGGTGTAGAGGTCGGAAGGAGTTGCACCGCGTCTTTGTGGAGCTAGAGAAAGCATATGAAAGGAGCAGCAGACATGTATGAGGTCACCGGTGACATGTATGGTAGGAGTGAATGATGGTTTCAAGGTGGGGGTGGGATGAGGGATTGGTTTTGTGTCCCTTCTCGCTTGGACAGGTTGACAGATGAGGTCAGTTCATGAGCTATGATGTTTCCAGATGACATTGTGATGTGTAGTGAGAGGAGGGAGCAGGTGGAAAAGAGCCTGGAGAGGTGGAGGTATGCACTGGAGAGAAGAGGAATGAAAGTCAGGAGGAGCAAAACAGAATAATGTGTGTGGATGAGAGGGAGACGGATGTAACAGTGAAGCTGTGTAAAAGGTCATGAATGTGGATGAGTTTAAAAACCCGGGGTCAGCCATCCAAAGCAACAGAGAGGTGAAGAAGAGTGTGAAGGTGGGGTGGAGTGGGTGGAGACGAGTGTCAGGTGTGATTTGTGACAGAAGAGTGAAGTGAAGGTTTACAAGATGGTAGTGAGACCTGCTGTGATGTTTAGTGTGGAAATGGTGGCAAAAACAAAGAGACAGGAGGCTGGGCTGAAGGTGGCAGGGTAAAGATGTCATTATTTTCACTGGGACTGACCAGAAATCAGAGGGACAGCTCAGGTAGAGCAGTTTAGAGACAAAGCTAGAGGTGCAAGGCTGAGATGGTTTGGACACGTGCAGAGGAGGGACATTGGATATATTAGGAATACACGAGGAAAAGAGGAAAAACAAAAATGTTTGATGGATGTAGTGAAGGACATGGTTAGTGTGACAGAGGAGGATGGTACACAGAGACTAAGATGCAAGCAAATTTTAAAAACTGTGGTCGTCACTAATATTTATGTAGATCATCACATCACACATCATCAGCATAGTCGGTCATCCACTTTCTCCTGTTGGAAAACAAAAATACGACATCAGTCACAAAATGATTCCTGCCTTGTCATCCCTTGTGCAGAATGGCCACCAGACCACAAGATGTTTTCTCTTTCAAAGATGCTGAACTTCCCTCTCACCTGCTCGCAAAGCTCAACGTCCTCCGGCAGGAGCGCATCCTGACGGACGTCCTGCTCTGCACTGAACACCAGGAGATCCCCTGCCACAGGAACGTCCTGGTGTCCAGCAGCCCGTACTTCCGCGCCATGTTCTGCAGTAACTTTCTGGAGAGCAGCCAGGCCCGCGTGAATCTGAAGGGGATCTCTTCAAATGTGCTCATTGGCATTGTGGACTATGTTTATACGGGCTGCATCACCATCACCATGGACATTGTGCTCCCACTCATGCAGGCAGCTTCCATGCTTCATTACGGAAGCCTCTTTGAAGCCTGCTCTGTGTTCCTCCAGGAGCAGCTGAGCCCGGAAAACTGCCTGAGCATGATCCGACTGTCTGAGATACTTCACTGTGAGAGCTTGAAGGAGAGGGCCAAGGAGATGGCTGTAAGGTCCTTCTCTGACGTGGCCGCTACAGAAGATTTCTGTGAGTTGTCTCTCCCGGAGCTCATGTGTTACCTAGAAGACGACCGACTTTGTGCTGAGGAGGAACAAGTGTTTGAGACCCTGCTGGCGTGGATCCACCATGACCCGTTCTCACGGAGGGGCGCAATCCACGATCTCTTCAAGAAAGTCCGTCTGCGCTACATCCACCCAACTTACCTCTTCCAGTTCATTGCCAATGATCCACTGGTGCAGAGCTCCAGCCTTTGCACTGAGATAATCGAGTCAGTCCGTCGCCTTATGCTTACAGTCAGCGCCAAGTGCAGCCGTGAGCTGAAGCCTCTGTGGACCACACCGAGACGTTATACCTGCAGAGAAACGCTGGTGGTAGTTGGAGGACGCAAAAACAACGAACAGACTTCAAGGGAAGCGTTACTCTATGACGAAAGGACTCAGCGTTGGCAGTGGTTGGCCAAGCTCCCCTTGCGCCTCTACAAAGCTGCTTATGTGTGCATTCACAGCATCCTCTACGTCCTCGGCGGGCTCAGCCTCTGCATGGCATCAGGCGACAGCTCGGTCAGCGCTACAGTTTACACACTCTCCCTCAAAACCAACCAGTGGAGGACTGCCGAGCCCATGCTGGAGCCACGATATGCCCACCAAAGCGTCTCATACCTGCACTTTATTTTTGTGTTAGGAGGCATCGGTGTAGATAAGCGCATCTCTCAGTCAGTAGAGAGGTATAACAGTATGTTTAACCAGTGGGAGGCCATGGCACCCATGCCCACAGCCGTGCTTCATCCAGCTGTTGCAGCCAGTGATCAGAAGATCTATGTTTTTGGAGGGGAGGACGCCATGCAGAACCCAGTCAGGCTGATTCAGGTAAGGAAGGCTTCAGTCGAAGTTAGCATTCAGTGAAGAACAGCCTGCGATGCTCAGGAAATCCAAAAAGGCTGATTGATGGTGTTTGTGCTGTTACACAGGTGTATCACATCGCTCGCAATCTATGGTCCAAATTAGAGACAAGGACTGTGAAAAATGTTTGTGCTCCCGCCGCCGTCATAGACGACAAGATCTATATCATAGGAGGTAAGGACGCATTTTTACTTTTAAAAAACTGAGAAAAAATGTTGTTCTCAGCAGCTGTTTTACGCTAAAATATGGACTATATATAATATATTGCCTATAATATAGTTTGACTCATATTTCGACCTGCTTGGTCGACTTTGGGATTTGTTTACTATATGTAATTTACTATGACTTACCAACCATGTAATCTCCAGGGTACACCACGCGAATGATTGCCTACGACACCAAAGCCAACAAATTCTTCAAGTGTGAGAACCTGAAGGAGCGACGAATGCATCACAGTGCTACAGTGATCAACGGCAAGATCTACGTCACAGGTGGACGCATCCTGAATGGCCACGACGTCATCGAGGACTCGGACTGCTTCGAGTGCTACGACCCAAAAACAGACGTTTGGACCTCTAAAGGTTCTCTGCCATACAAGCTGTTCGACCACGGCTCTCTCCCACTAGTCTGCGTTTCCAACAGACCAAACCCACCATGACCCACCATCTAATCACGGCTTGCTCCTTTTTATTGTAATCTCCACCTGCCCTTTGCCATTATTTATTGGCTTCTAACAGAAATGGGAAACCATGTCAGAGTGACACCATTCTTTCACGCAGCTCAGTAAAGCGGCATTTAAGGTCGGGCTGACTTTCATCTGCATCAGAGAAGAAGAGCTCAGCTGGCATGCAGAGGTGTCATTTCTAAGCATCTGGGGCGGAAGTGAACCGAGGACCCCAGAAATGATGAGAGGCAGCTACTCGGACACGTATGTAATCCAAACAGCTCTTTAAAAGCTGTTTCCGCAGATGGATACACTTGTATAAAGCAAACTAAATTGTGTTAATACTGTATTTTCCAAGATATTTGAACACAGCCTGTCACTCTGCAGGGCAGCTGCACTTAACTCTTGACAAAACTGAAACTGGTTAAATAATTTGCACTTTATAGGTCAAAAAATAATACATTCCTTCTTGACCCTGATGTGTATCAGAGGGAACTGATTAATGAGAATAAGGGCTACTGCAAAGTTGTACCTGCTCTGATGTTTGGTGAAGTTTTGCAAAGAAGAACTTTTTTTTCTTTATTCCAGTCTTGGGGGGTTGATTTTCAGTTAAAACCCAACAAAGCTTGTTCTGTTTTTAAGATGTCTGTTTAAAACATGGCAGAACCAGTATGCAAAGATGTGACATTTTGGATCAGTCCAAGATCTGTGAGCAAATATTTCAATGGTGGTTTACATTCATATTTCACTGTGCATGCAAATGTCGTTAGATAAAGACAACCTGTGGCCTGCTGTGAGCGGCCATAAGTAAAAAATGTTGTTAGAGATACTTTTTGTGTGTTTACAGGCTACATCAGACTGCAGGGGCAACCTAAAGGTGATCTGGCACAATCACACCAACTGATCTGGAATTCATTTTTTTATTCATTTGGGAAATCATAGTCATACAAAGAAATCCTTACCTGTCAAGACTTTGATTGCCATTACATCCCTCTGTGTCCTGCAGCCCTCTTGTCCCTCATGGAGCATGCATTCAGTGTTTTGCTCCAGCCCTTGGTAGCTCCATTATTGGACAATTTGTGGTATACATCTTAATGTTTGAGACTTTCTCACGAATCAACTGAACAATGCATTGCTGCTACTTGCACATTAAGAGACTTCCTCTTTATTTTTGTATGCGGTATTACTTGTACGATGTGCATAAATGTTGTGTTTATGTACTAAAGAGAGAGTCAAACTTCTTATTTGTTGCATTGATTCTTTCTGCGCATAAAAACAGATCAGCTGTGGCAAAATCGCATCTTAGTTCAGCTTATCGGTCTTCATTTTGAGCAGGCTCGTAATTTGCATGCAGACTAGCTGAGTCACGACCTCCTCGTGCATGAGGGAACACCATCAATGCAGAAACATGTTCTGGTTGTCAGGTGACACATTTTCTCTCCGTACATCATTAAACACCAGTGCAAAACCCATTAAAATATTGGGATGTTCCTGGAATGTAGTGAATGCATTTCTTTATGTGAGTGTCAACCTCTTGACCCTTCAGGGCACATTCTCCTCATGCAGAGCGTCTGGTATGAAGGCTTCATATCCGGTTACCACTGCCCCCCTGAGAGGCTCACTGTTTGCAAGGTATATGGCCTACTTAAAACTAGCCCTCCAGCAAAGCTGACCTTAGGGGAAGAGATTTGGGATCAGATTTCACTCTTACGCTTTAATGCTTGTCCATTAGTGTTAGTGGAAATGCTGAAACTTGCCTACAAGCACTAACCAAATGGAAATTTCATCACTGTCTCTGAGTTAAATGGCTCCTTGTTAGCCTGGTCCCTCTAAATGCCTCTCTGTAACCCTGTGTGAATGCATTCAACAACTCGTGCTTGCAAAATGAGCTTAATGTCTAAACTCAAAATGCTGAATCCACCAACGCGGTGACTTTTCTGATTATGTCACCGGCAGTCACGTGCTCGGCTCAGTCAAACAGAGCAGAATGTAAGAAAGCCCAGTGAAACCTTCCACTGAGCTGCTGCTCACACAGCCTTCTCAGATTGTTTACAGACTCTGTGTTTGCTCAATACCTTTCCATAGATACCAGTGTGTGAGGGTCACCCTTAAGGGAGGCTGTGGCCTGGGCAGGTTATTTTCAGTATCTGTTACTATCCCATTAAGGGGTAGCATATCATTGCCTATTCTGTGTGTCTCCATAAACACACACAGTGACTGCAGCAAGAAGAATTATATACATTTATATATATGACTGACATGCTTCATAAAATCCATCATTGAAGTCGCTGAAGTGCAGACTTTCAGCTTTAGTTTATTGGGTTTAACAAATGTATTGTATTAACATTTTCAGAGTCTCAGAATTAATAGATTAAACTAACATAATTTTAATTATAAGGATTGTTTTAAATATTTAATATCCGTAAACTCCACCAGATGTGCTGCATTTCTTGCCTTGACATCCTCTGCCTCTTTACTTTAGCATTCAGTCACTAAAAAGCTGCTTTCCTGAGAGGAGCTCCGGTGAGTGATTTGGCCATTGAAGAACATGTTGTGGTTTGCCATTTACTTTGGGTTGCTATTAATTTGTGAAGCTTTGTCCAGTTAGTTTTGCGGCATTTGTCTAAATCTGAGCAGAGTATAGCTCTGTACACTTCATAATTCGTCCAGCTGCTTCAATCGGCAGTCATATTATGTATACACAGTGGCGGTCGTAGCGGTAGCCCATGCCATAAAATTACCTCGACCAGGTGTAGTATGCATGAGCGGTTTCTCTCCTTCTCCATACTTTTCTCTTCCCATTATCCAGTTTCATCTTGGTGTCACCGGAACAAAGAATGTTTCTTGGACTGTGCAGGATGTTTTCTAGCAAATCTGGACTTCCTGTTCTTGAGTGTAATCAGTGGTTTGCTCCTCAAGAGTGTTCTTGACTCTGTCAGAGGTTATTTGCGTTTCTTAACCATGAAAATAATTCTGTCATCATCTACTCCAGTGTTCTTACATGGCCTTTTAATATTGAATGCATTCCTTTTTTATTTGGCCAATTCAGAAATTTTGCCATCACTTTGATGCGTCCCAGCATCTCATTGGACTTCATTTTTCAGTTAAATATTCAAAGTGAGTTCAACATTTGTTATCGGTCAATTGTTCAATTAATTTTAAGCTTCTGAAAATGGATGATGATACAAATGGTACAGAAAAACTTGTGGATCTGTCTGCAATACAGATCCTTTACCACCTGATGTCCTGGTGTCTGCAGGCTGATGGAGAGGAAACCAGTTTCATTTTTATTTTGTCTCTATCGCCCTCTGCTGCCTAACACAGGTTTGCACAGTGCTCTGTAAGCCTGCAGGCATATAAGGCTGAATTCTGTAACAGGGCAACCAAGTCAGACTTAAGAATCATGATGATTTTATTAGAATTTCCTTGATAAACAAAAAAAAAAAAAAAAAAAAAAAAAAAAAAAAAAAAAAAAGCACAGTACAGCATGCACACGTTCCTTTACAGATCTCTAAAATAAAACTTATCAGATTGACTATTTCATTGGAACATGGCATCATCGTCGAACAGCCTGGTTAAGATTTGTGTTCATTTTGTAACAACTTTTTTTACCCCCAAAACACACACTTTGAACACGTGTGAGACTGTGTGATTTGAAAAGGCTAAAATATTGGTAAAGGATGACAGTCCTATACTTAAAGTGCCTACATTCAATTCAGTGGTGTGTTTCTAGTGGATTCAGTAATTAGTCCTTCCTGTGAAGCAGCCAGAAGTCGCTCAAACACATTTTCATTCATGAACTGTGGGGGAAATGGCACTATGAACCCCCAAGAGGTGAAACAAAACATTATAAATCATAATCACTTAAGACATAAATGAACAAAAATAAACAATAAATTGATCCAGTAAAAGTGCTACTTGTGATTTAGAAGGGTATAACACTGAGAAGTTTATAAACTATACAAGAACAGAAATAAAACTTTATTATATTGACAGAAACATAATAACATTAATAATAATAATAATAATAATAATAATAATAATAATAATAATAATAAACAACTTTTTCCAATAAAGAAACTCTTGAGGCAGAAATCCTAAAACGTGGTAAAATTATACTTTGTTACAGATTTATATTAAATCAAATTTTGGAACAGTTAAGATATACAACATGTACACACTCACGAACCCAACACGTCTGTGCTTCTATTGCCAGCCTGAATGGTGAGAAACCAAACCTTATGCACAGTAGGTCCGTAACTACAAAAGGCATTCAGAGAAAGAAATTACATTTTGGCACCAGGCACAGAATTGATTATACATTTAATTAAATACTAAAACCCACCCAGAAAAATAACCAGGCTATTTTTAACCCCTCAACGTGCTGTATCAGCCACATGAGATCATAGCAAATATACATTTAAACTGGCTTTTAAAAAAAAAAAAAAAAAAAAAAAAAAAAAAAAGAGATGTAACTTTTGGCATAAGTGTTGCTGGAAGAATCAGAGGGGCAGGGGACTGGCAGACATCTACCCCAGCAGACCTGACGGGAGGATCTACAGTGCATTTCTGTCAAAAGACAATCGTTTGTTCTTCCTGAGTGCTAGACGTAAACAGGAACTGGAAAACCTACTATGATTGGGCCTTTGAACTATTTACACGATACCACTGCACCTTTTGGCTTTCTGTGTCATTCGCTCCCACTCATCCTTACCCCGGTTCATGATGGTGACATCAGCAGCTCGATAACGTCACCCACATGCAGAAGCTCGGCTGCTCTCTGTGACCCACATTGCATCCCTCCTCTCAGCCAATCTGAGAGGAGGATGAAGTATCAGAAACTTTACTAGCTTTAGCTTGGAATGGACCGGCCACATGGTCACTTCTTACTTCTTTGCAAAACTCCACTTTATGTACACACATCACTGTGGGAGGGTTATTTTTTTGTTTGTTTTGGAGTTTTTTGTTGTTTTTTTTGTTGTTGTTTTTTTTGTTTGTTTTTTTTAATTGAATGACAAAGCTTAACTTAAAGTGCACCGACCAGTCCGATGTTCTACAACTCATTGATGGTTCGCTCCGAAGGCCTGAAGTTGACAGAGCTGGACGACGACATGTAGAACGACTGGGTTCTGCGATTGAGGCGGGCCCGCTTGGTGGCCACGCACAGGCTGCGCCTGCTGGAGGTGATGATCTCTGTGATGAACTTCTTGCAGTCCACACAGACCTCCATGGTGACCCAGTCCTCAGTGAGCTCCTTGGGCAGCTCTAGCTCATCCTGCGACCGCCCGTCTTTGCTGATGCTGTGCTTGGACAACCTGAACAGAGACAACTGAGTGAATATCTGTGCACACACAGGAAAGCAGTCGCAGCCACAACATGATGATGCCGCCGATTATTAAGTCACCTTCTGCGCAGACTGTGCCGGGTGTGCGCAGACCCAAACGGCTGCTTGTCTGGCTCAGCTGGGGCAGATGTGCCTGTGTCTTCTTTAACCACAGCACTGGGAC